GAGCATTTATGGCTTGCATTTACTGAGTGCTCAATAGGCGTTTGACTGATGGATCAGTTAGTTGGTGGGAATTTTATATGATGACTATCCCTTTAAAACACATCACTATGCATTGCTATGTCTTTGATCTGGTCGTTTTTATAGGTCAAATTGTGTCTCCACTTATATCAGGATATGGAGCACATCGTATTTCCTATAACAAAATACAAGTTATTCTTTTTCCCTAAAAGAGTACTGCATTGAAATACCATACTATTTGTACTTGTCATTTGATGTGTACCCCATACAGTAAGAGTATATAAAAGATATTATGTAACTATAGAGAAGAAATTATGATGCCTAAGACACCTAGGTCATAAACCAATAATGTCAGATCTTCAGAAATTAATTGTAAGTTGCCTGAGTTATGTTGGAATTATGTATTAATACTATCTTTATGTGTTTTATGTATCTATCCGGCCAATGCTCTTTGCATAAAATGAAAGTAAAAAAGGAATATGTTGATTAAGAGCTAGCTCTGTTTTGTGTTTGAAAAGATGTCTCTCTTTGAATAAAATATAGAGGAACAGACTTGAATATTGTAGTAACCAGGCTAGTCCTAGGCTTCTCCATCCATAGAACCTAGTACAGAATTTCTTGAAATAAGTGAAGTAGAACAGAAACTGAACTGCTTTCTTGGGATACTAGCTTGTCAAACCCAAGGAAAGTCACATAAAGTGGAGAGTGTGTCTTTACAGTCTGTTTCTAAGTAACCATTTTGGTTTGGGTCTACACACCTGTCCTAATCACACATACTTCTTGTTTTGTTCTTAAGAGACCATTGTCAAATGCCAGATGTTTAAGAATCACATCAAAGAAGACCTAATGGGAACCTCTAATTGTTAAATAAATCAAAGGGAACAGAAGTTTTGCTCTAGTTGAAAGTTTTTAAAGTTAGAAATAGGACTTCTAAGTTAGAGAAAATAATTCTACTAACCTGCCACTAGTAGTCTCTACTTAATGCTCTTTGAGCACTCAATCTGAGCAAAGAACTGGGCAAAGCACTTTAAGGGAATTTGATATTTTTGTCAGCATCCATAAGAGATTGGTTCTTATTATTACTATTATTATAATTTTCCAGGTAAAGACAGTAAGCTAAGAAAGGCTAAGGTATTGACTGATAGCCACACCGATGAATTGATAGTCATTAAAAGTCAAGAATTATGATTTTAAAAATAAATGTTATTTGTAATGTGATTTGTAAAATATTTTTGAATATAATGTTGGTTAATGACTATGTACAACATGTTGACTGAAAAAGAATATGCACCTTTATTGTTTTTTCCCATGTTTTCTTAGACCATATTCAGTCTGTTTGGTAAAACAAATGACACTTTGGGCCCAAGTTCAACACTTTCAGAATATCCTTATAAAAGGCAACCTTTCTCTTGGCTATCGCTGGTGACCCTTTCTTTTGTGGTTTCACGTGCTCTCCATGGTCCTAGAAATCTTTGTGAGGTATCTAGGTCTTAGATAATTAATCTTTGAGATGTTGATTCATGCCTACTTCTCAGGTCTGCCAGAGTGCCATTAAAGCATCCCAATGTGGATATGGTATGCCATGCCAATCTAAGGAACATCACATTGAGATGAGAGAGACACCAAGCCCTCCCATATTATACACATATCTTGTGTCTGAACAATAAATGTAAGTGCACATCTCTAGTAAAACTTTTTGATACTTGGCTTGCTCATTATTTCTATTTCTATATTCCCTTTTTCTGAGATCAGTGCATACATCAATGAATACATCTCTGGTTATCTGTGTAAGAAGAAATTGAGTACACTATTATCTTCTCCATTAAGTCATAATAGCATATATTAAGAATGATATCTTTGCACCTGGAGTTACAGAAAATTAGACTTGTAAATGACCCTAGACATCAACTAGTTATTCCTTCAGCCATCGTTGTACAGCACCCCATGTGCTTTGCTGCTGTAGTTTTTTTATCATCACACAAAGAAGGAAACAGATCAAGAGGAAAAGGTATTTTTTCTCTCTAGGAGGTGACAGAACTTTGACTATGCCTCCCATCATGTTTTTCCAGAGCATAGGCCAAACACTCATTGTGTGACATCAGGGTCTTATCCTTGTCATTCCTATCATTGACATGGAACCTTCTTTCATGGGTAGTATATGTGTGTATTCTTGCTTCTCCCTCAGTGGGCACCAGGTGTAGTAAAACAAAAAAGTGCATTGACATTATGAAATTGCTGATATCTGGTCAACATTCAAGCATTGTTTACCTAACAAGAGGAAATTTCATATGGTTCAGTGTACGCTATCTTTTCCTGCAACAAACTCTCTATATACGTGCGTGCACTCGCGTGCACACACACACACACACACACACACACACTTGTTTCTCCAAGACATGTGGCTAATAAGGAGAGGATTAGAGCCCATACTCATATTTTCCAAGAATTGACTTTGTGCTGGATATTCTCCATTTGCCCTTCAGGATTGCCTGCAGACCCTTTTCTAGGAGGCTATCCTGCCTAGACTGCACCAATGTGAGTCCTGTCCTCTGACTCTAGAAGAAATCAAGCATAGGAGGAGACAATTGGGGATAGCTATTCCCCATTCCTTTCCTGCTGGACTCTGGCTTTGAAGGAGCTGTGTTCCTCTACCCGTAGTCATAGCTCTGCTTGACAGCCCTCTCACATCTATGATCAAATTGTTCTAGATATAACTTTAGTTTGTGTATATATGAGGTTATATTTGCTATGCATGTGTGTTCTGAAGTTATATTTGAATAACATTTATACCTTCAAGTTTTGTATTGAGATTTGTCAAGGCCCTTAGGTAGGAATAACAATATACTTATAAACAGTGCGTATTTATACTGCTATTCTAAAAACTAATTGTTAATTGTTTTTTAAGGCCATTAATATTATTAGACATTTTAAAATAAGAAAATACTGGCTAAGTTTAGTTTCTTAACATGAAATTCAAGGCAATATCCAAACATTTGTGAAATATAATTATGCTTTTACTATTATTTTCATATTAATTATTAGTTTAGGGGCAAAACATTAAATCTGATGCAATATAAAATTGACAAGTAATCTTTGCTAGTACAAATATTTGCTAGTTTTTGCCTGTGGTATATATAATCATGTGCTATATAAGTCAAGAAGAACAAGTAACCAAAGAAAATATTTTAAATTCACTAGAATAGCATTTTGGTCTCTAAACACATGTTGGATTAAACTCCCCCAAAACTGGTTTATTACTGGAACAAACATTGACTGAGCATCTATTATGTGTCAACATTGTGTTAAGTGATGTGGAAAGTTTAGAAGATTCATGGGAATCACATTCTGATTCTAGAAAGCTCCTTAACAATGTCACAAGCCCAGTAAGTGTTGATTGGCAAGAATGGAACTGATAATCCAGGAGTTTCAGTTCTGTTTCTATCTTCCTTTTCATGTAACTGCACGCAGTCTGCAGGCACTCAGTACATAGCTAGCTAGATATTAAAAGGCATGAAAAACAGTCTTCATGCATCCCTAACAAATTGTTCATTTTTACTCTAGGCGATCAGTGAAGTTACAAGCTTCAGTGCTCTCTGAAATAAGCTTAGAGTAGGCAATAAATAAAAGTATAGCACTATTCACCATGTGGCATTTCACATCCAAATCTATTATACATTCAGTCTTCATATTGTAGGGCAGGAAAGCCCTAAAGATGCATGTGAGGCCCTTAACATTTAATTGCTTCCTAAAGATGTTAAGCAGTGTGTGTTAATGAATGAGAAAAGCTATTTGGAAGATGATCTGTGTCCTAGAGCCTCCGCTCCCAAATTCCTTCCAGGAAAAGAAGCTAATTTGAGCATCATTTGTAGAAGATTTCTAGGTTCTTGGAGTGTGTCAAGAGGTTAGGGAGAAGGGGAATGGGACAGGAAAAAAAAAAAAAGATTGGAATGGATTATTGAGAGAGCCTTTGGTGGACAGCCCCCCCCCCCCCAAATAAAAAGACAGAAGAGAGTGCCTCTAGATAAATCTTTGATTCTATTAACAATAATCCAGGACCCTAATTGTTTCCACAATTATTTATAAACTTATGTAAAATACAGTTAGAGCTTCTCTATATATCAATGGAGTTTATTTCCATAATCAAGTGGAGTGAGGATAATTTTATATGTGAAGGCATAACTAATGCCAAAGGTGTTTTTTGTTTGTTTGTTTGTTTTTAAGAATCGCAAAATATAACCACCACCAAGTCAAGGATAACATAATGGAAAATCTAAAATTTATTCATATAGTATAAATAAACAAATAAGGAGAATTATTTAAATCTATATTTAGTTGCATTATTCAATTAGTTTCAGGAGTAGATGTGGAAATCAGACTTATTCTTGGCAATTCCTGTGCTGAACTCTTTTGACTTCTTGTCATAGGCTCCTCTACTTGAGCTAAACCAGACAAAAGTTACATAAAATTGTTTATTCTTTTTTTTTTTTTTTGAAATTTAAAGAAAAAATTTATTGAAGATTTGAAAAACAATTCCTAAAAGATTTGACTTTTCCAGAAAACTGTAGCTACACAATGCATTGCGTCTATCATGTTAAAACGTGCATAAGACACAAATACAAAAACCATGAAACAAGCCACCATTCTTCAACAATTTGAGCAAAGATATAATGCCTAAGGAACAACATGGATGACTTGCGAAGGATGGGCTCTTTACTTTAAGCACCATTAAAAAAAAAAAAAAAGGAGCACAAATGGATGAGTGTGTTCAGTTATATACACTGAATTGAACCTTTGGCACTAGGATTCAGAGCATTTTGTCATATAGCATTAACACATATTATAAAAGTGCGTAGTGTCAAAGGAATAGAACCACCAGCATTCAAAAGCAGCTTTGTCAACTAGGCAAACACTCTACAGCATGTCTCTCTGTTGTCCATCATAGAATACACTGGTAGCAACTTTGAAATGAAATTAAAAGAAAGAAAGGAAAAAAGGAGCAGTAACCCCTTTTATTTTCTCTGTTTAAATTCAAACAGAAAACAAACATCAATTTTGTTATACACTAACATCTTCAAAGTACATCATTTGTACAAGAGAAGGACTAAGAACAAAAATGTGTTTACAGAGATCCAAACACAAGTGAATGAAGTACACCTCCTCACACTGCTTTCCGATGGTATTCAGGAGGGGCGACTTCATAATCGCTGGCACTAAACAAAGTTGCAGAATTCTTTGCCAGGTACTTGAGGAAATCATGAAGATAATTCAGTAATAAAGCAAGGCTCTTCTCATCCAGAGGTGTATAGGCCAACATTGCTCCAATTCGTACAAATAATCTCAGTAGATGTGGCGCTCCATACACCTGGGACATGGGTGCATCAGGATGATCTGCAAGGATTTCAGCATACTGAGGTCTCTCAAATTTGTAGAGCAGTTGAGTGCCCAGCATTACATTGAAGTATTCTTTTATTCCTGCCACAACTTCATTAACAGCATACTCCTTATTATCTGTGTTTCCTCGAGATTTCTTGTAATTTGCATAATCCTCAAGAATAGAATCCACATTCTTCTTCGCAGGAAGATAAAAGAGCTGTTTCTGTCTGGTAATTAAGTCCCAGTCATCAACAAGCCATGGTTTTAGCTCTTCAGGAATCTTTACTTTAACTTCAACTCTGTTCATAAATGTTTCTTCATTTTCAACAGTAGGATCTACCCGGGCCCTTTTCTTCCGAGGAGGCTGAGGTGTCTCACTGGTACTGCCACCATCTCCATTTCCAGGTGTTTTCTGTTTGTTCTTTTTGGTTTTCACTTCAACATTTTTCTGTTGCAGACCAGATGTCTTCTTTCCTGGAGCAGCCCCTCTCATCTTCCCCTCTGCATACTGCTCCTGATTGGCTTTTTGGAGTTCTCGCTGTTTCTGCAGATTGGTGTCCACGTACTTGAGCACTCTGCTCTCTGGAACCCATTCATCCCAATTTTTATTCCAACCACTGTAATGTATAAAGTATTTCACTTGTTTGTCCTTTATGGCAACCTTCACGCACTTTGCTTCATAAAGGAGAGGCCCATGAAAGCACAGCACTCGCTCACCCTCCTGGAATTTCGGCTTCGGGTCCTGCTTGGGCGCCATTTATAAGTGATTCGCCGCCTCCTCCTTCTCCCACCACCCCCGACTACCGCCCCCTACTCTCTACCCCACCCAACTTCGCGTCAGACGCGCCGTCAGGCACAGCCAGCTCTACATCCTGGGCCCGATTTGCCAGCGCCCGTAGACCTCACAACACAGCGACCTGCGCATCCGCTGCTCCAGCCAACGGCTCTGTTTATTCTTTTGCCATATTTTTTGACTACTTCCTTCAAGCTGTTGAGGTGCTATCCTGGTGAAATGGTACTGTCCTAGTGAATATATCTAGTTTTTTTTTTTTTTAATCAGCTATGATTGGGTTTCAAATTGATGTGCTTCCTGGTAGCAAGGGTCAAGGGAAATCAGAGTATATTATACCATTCTCATATTATACCAAAGAAGGCTACAAATAAACTCTTCTAGAGAAATGCTATGTTTTCCTAGTAATAATTTCTAAAGAAATAAGTCTACTTCGTAAAATTTTAATTAAGAGCCTTCATTTTCTTTCAGCAAATATAAAGGTTATATAAACATTTAATTTTCTAAAAGTTGTGATTCTCAAGAGAAGAAATTATCTTAATGGCTCTTCATTTGTCACCTTCAAAAACAAAGCAATTTGAATATTTTCTTTATTATGATTTATTGGAACTTCATTAATAAGGAAGGCTTACAAGTTAGTTATTGTTTTTGAGCAAGATCACACTGTGCTAAATAACGAGATATGGGAATACATCAAACAGCTTGACTTCTGCTGACTTTTACTTAAGAGTGTGAAGTGTTTTAAATTAGACTATGTTAGTATTGATAAAATGTGCACAAGGGGAAAAATAATTTAAAGGCTATGTTTCACTTTGAGAGATAAATTATTTGATTCAAAAATAAAGCACTGTGACCTGTGAGTGAAGAACCAAAACTCTCATACACTCTGAGAGACAGTGTAAATTGAAGCAAGCTTTTTGGAAGGCAATTTGGTAATGTCTAACAAATATACAATGCATTTACTCATTGAACTGACAATTACACATGCCCAGAAGAATCTGCCCCTAGATAAACTTGTAAAAGTTCACCAAAGTTCATCATAGTATTTTTGAAATAGCAAAAGAAAAACATTACAAAAGTAGTCTAAATACACAGCAAAAAGGGATTGGATAAATGTATATTCATTTAATGGAACACCCTAAGCTAAATAAGAAGTGTGTATAGGATAATTCTACATACGCTGATATGAAAGGACTCCACAGTGAATTAATGGGTAAATGTGAGACATAGGCCATGATGATTTGTCTTCTGGATTATTTTAGTTATATAGTTTTATGTGGATATGCTGATATTTATATCAATCACATCAGTTTATATGTAGGAGAAGCAAATGTGGGTGACCTGTTGTGCTTATTTAAATTTAAAACGTTAATATATAAGCATTGGCTTTTGGGTATTCCTAGATGGCAGTGGACTGGAAGATGATTTTCATTTTACTTGATAGCTTTCTATAAAATTTGAGGTTTCTAAGTATGCATATGCAATTCTTTTACTTTTTTAAACATATCAATTTGAGTGTTCTTAAGTAAGTTATTTATTATTCTTTGTTTTCATATACTCAAAAACCCAATAATTTATTTCTTACAAAACAAGGACTATTGAAGTTTCCAAGGTAATGAAGCATGACAAATGTTAGCATATGAAGCATTGTGTTGTCAGGAAGTCAACTCAAGTTTTCTGTGAAATATTCACACTGCAAACAAAATGCAGCTTCTACAGCTGTCTTCCTTATATTGAGAGTCCGTCCCTTAGCTGTATGAAAGATAGGTCAGTGTTGGGTTGGGTAATTAGAGACATCAAAGTTACCTCCACTTCTGAGCAAGAGAATTTTAAATCAGTTATTGCAATTGTTTTCTTAGTCCAGGGTAAAAGAACATGCTACAAAACAAAGTCCTCTTTGAACAACATACTTCATAGACCCAGCTTGAATTCAGAATGTAAGGAGAAATGGTTGTATATCTCCCATGGACCCTGTTTAACACAGCATCTTCTATTTTGGAAGCAGTTCCAAAAAAGAATCATAGAATGACTGATTGTCTTCTGCTCTTTTGAATCTTTCCAGAATTGAGACTTCCAGTGAGTCCCTCTGTGTGTCTGGATCAGGGAGTACAACAGCCAAGTACTTCAAGTCATTTTTTAAAAACAGCGAAGCCACATATGTGGAAACCATGGGACGGGCGACGTGAACAGCTGTAAGCTGAACATTTTGAATTGTTCTATCCAACAAACATTTTAGGAGACAAGAAAGAAGCCCAGAGGGAGGTGGAGGCGGATTGCATCTTTGAATTATTAGGTTCTGTTACATAAATTTTCAGGGCTCCCTTCTTAATAAGCATGTCATCATTGACTTTCTTCTAGACACATTTAAATTTCTCCTACTATAGAATAAATATTTGGGTAAATTGGACTTTCATCTGGTAAGTTACATTAATGTAAATTGAATTTAAAACCCTGACAATGTGAAACTATAAAATTTTAACTTCTCCTGTGCTCAGATGACATTGCCTTATCCTATGAGTATGGCTGAATGCATTTTTCCTATTTATTAATTACTTTTAATCATTCCCAGTCTTTAAGAAATAACCTATAAGATATCAAGTTGTCCAGGGTACCTTCAGGAAGGCATTTTAGAATGTAGAGAAATTAAGGATTTTAATTATTTTACCCAAGATGTGAATAAAATTTTATAATTTAATTTTATAATTATTAAGTAGTATTTCAGGAGTTAATGGTATTTATTGAAAATTGTATAATTCTCTTGCTTACCTAGACTTCAAAAGTTAAGAAGCACAATCTTTTCATTGATCAAATGGAGATCAGAGAAACATGGTGCAAAAAAAAAAAACTAGTTATACATTCTTGTACTATTTATGATGAAAACATATCTGTTTTATCATAAAACATTAAATTAATGTTATTTTCTTCTGTACACTGAACTGTTCCCTGAATATTTCATCCTTTCAGTTGACCTTTTATTATTGGGGATGAAGAACAGAACTGAACTAGTGGGAAGAGTTATTTTGTCTTTTAGATGGTGGCTTTTCCACTACTGAAAAACTTGACACTTTTTATGGAGAGAAAAATATAAAACAAAGGTACACAGTAGCACAAGAAAGCCTTCCTAGCAAGCATTTCACTATGCCCAGATTGTAAGTTATATCGCATAAGTTGTGATAGTACCATGAATATGAGGTCATGGGCAGTGTGAATAATTTAAATTTTAGAAATCTTTAAATCTATATTCATACCTTCTTTTCTTTTTAAGCATCTTTTGATTAAATCTGCAGTGGAGAATTCTCCAATTTGATCTCTTCTCTTTGTACCTGTGCACCCTCTGGTGGTGAAGCTAATTAAGCAGTTGAAATTGTTTAAGGAAACCCACACACTGAGGGCTGGTCCAACTGATAGAAGTGGTTCACAAAGCTTTTAGCAATGTACACATTACGTACTCAACCCTAAATTATGGGCACTAACTATCTTGTTTTATTTTTTTAGGAATCAAACAACAGTCCTTGCTCCCCATGAAACAATCTTTAGAGCTGAGGATCTATCTGTGATTCTGAAAGCGTATGTACTGGTGACATCTCTAACCCCTTTGCGTGCATTCATTCATTCAACGGGCACGGTGTGGAGTCCACCAAAGAAAAAACGTTTCACTGTCAAGGTAAAATCTCTGCTGAAGCTGTTTTTGTCACACAAAGTACACCAGGGATAAGTAAAGTGCGTTGGGCTGCTATTCTGCGACCTTTATGGTTATCAAATCCCTTTGAACAAAGATTGCATCTTTTTATTGCTGCAAGCAGAGATTTTCATTTAATAGGTGCTGGTTCAAAAATAAACTGGAAATAGCTTAATTCACTAGGGATCACAAAGGCTACATCTTTTTTTTTCTTATCTTATTTTAGTTTAATTCTTTGACCTATTACAGAGTGTTTTTGGCTGTACTCTATTTTTCTTGAATTTCTACTTATTCAAGAAAAATATAATCAATGCAACAAATAAAAATATAATTTTGCCCTTATGCTTTTTTGCTTCATCCATAGATAGCATAATGAGTATTTCATTACATCAGTCAATATGGAATATTTGCTGAGTTAAAAATACAGTTCTCAAGTGTGTCAAATATAGCAAGCCATGCTGTAAGAGATAATGAGGAAGTTTTCAGGGAAGAACTTAATAATAACTCCCAAAAGTTTAGTTACAAAAGGTAGCTTGGGTGAACTTGGGTATAGATAAGGTCTTGTGAAAACATATTCGATCAAATTTAAGGAAATTTTATTTTAAAGAAGTAGTAATAGAAAGAAACAAAAGTGCCTGTGATTTTAAGATATTTTTTTTTTAAAAAAAGACTGAATTTGATTTCTTTATCATGATTTATCATATAGCCAGTGACTTGGAAGGCTCAGATAGGAGGATCACAAGTTCAAAGCCAGCCTCAGCAACTTAGTGAGACCCTGTCTCAAAATAAAAAATAAAAATGAGCTCATTGTAAGCTGCCCCTGGGTTCAATCCACAATATCAAAAACAAACAAATGAGAAGAATACATCTTACATAAAACTGCATATTTAATTCTGAAAAGCATTCCAATAATGAAAATTGTTTTCAAAACCATATCAGTATGATAATTGATGAATTGATGTAGATGTTATATAGATTAATAAAATAAATAGCTGACATTTTAGGAAGAGTATTGACCTAAGTTCTTAAAGTTGTTTTATTTGTTTTCAAAACAATCATCCCATCTCCATTATATCAACAACTGTGGCTTTCAGTTAATCCAGAATCTAGTTCTTTCATGTCATCTGTCCTGCAAGTCTTTACAGTAGCTGTTCATATTCACCTACTTACCATTAATTATTTCCATTTTTCTGAGTTATTAGGATAAATGATATGAAACTAGATATTAGGTCTCTTTTTAACCTACAAAATGTTCTGACTTCACAAGTTCAACCTCATAGTTGGAACTTAGGCACAGAGAGATGAGAATTAAGTACCTAAAATCATGTCACATTATTCAACAAATATCTGAGCACTGATCAAAATCCCTATGTCACTCTGGACAAGTCTTCTGTATTGTGTTAGGAATTTTTTTCTTTTTCTAGCATTTTTTTTATATTCAGCGCTACATATTTTTAGGAAGTGGCCATGCATGTTGTCCATCTTCAGAGCTATCTTTTCACTGATTTATGGTATTTCTTGGTGTGTTTTCCATTACAGTCTATCTATCCCCTCTTCTAGTAATAGATAAACTGACTGTTTCAATTTGGGGTTAAACCAAATAGTGCTTAAAATGTAAAAATAATTGTATATGAATGGAGCTGCATAAGATTTTCTTGCAAATATATACTCAGCAGTGAATTACTGAATGACAGGCTGTGGCCCCATTTGGATAGATTTAAATGATGTCAGCTTGCCTTCCAGATTGCCTGCTTCAGTCTCTATCTCATCATTAGTTTCCATATCCCTAAAGCTTGGTCAACACTCGGACCTTTCTAGTCCTCATTTTGCTAGTTTGACAGATGAGAGGTTACATCATACTTTTGCAAATAGCTCAACTTGTCATATATCTTGCCGACTTTATTCACAATGTCTGTTGTTGATTAATCAAATTAATTTTTCTTCATGCTTTGTGCTTTAGGATATAGTTTTAGAAATACTTTCTTATGTCTAGATCACAATGACATGCTTTGCCATCGTCTTTATGATTTTTTCCTGAAGATACAAGTGTTTAATTAAGAAGAGTTCATCTTTGATCCATTTTTCTTTCACTATATCCTGACCAATTCTCCCAACTGTGGGTTAAAACTCACCTTCGCCCATGAATCTAATGTCACATTTATTGTGTAAGTTCATATACATACATGGAGCTGCCTCTGAGTTATTTTGCCTCACTTGGTCCACCTGCTTATGCTATCTTGGCCGTGTAGTTATGTCTTAATGCTTGGTGGGTAAAGTTTTTCTTCTTTATTTTGTAATTTTCAAGATTAGGGTAACTAGGTTTTAAATATTTATTTCCTTCCTCATAAACATTTAAGAATGTTGTATTAGTCACAGTTTTCCAGAGAAACAGAACCAACACATTATACGTATTACATATATAACCATATGAGTACAATTATATACATAAGAAGCTTATTTTGCCTATGGAGATTTATTTTGGGCATTCACTTATTCAGTCATGGAGGCAGAAGTCTCATGATCTATAAGCTGGGGAACAGGAAAGTTAGTATTATAATTCAGTCTGATCACAAAGGCCTGAGGAGTTCAAGTACCAGAGGATGAGAGAAGATGGATGTCCCAACATAAGAAGGTACAAGCCAGTTATTAGGACTTACTGCTTCTATCTGACCCTTTTATTAGTGTGCTTTCTTTTTGTTTCTTTAAAAGTATCTTTTTCTCTTTTTAACTGTGAATTTCAAATATTAAGTTTAAAAGTTATATATTCTTAATATTTGTAATATATAGTGATCATCATTAGTTCAAAACATACATTTTGGGAAGGAGATCCTGGGGATTGAACCCAGATACACTTTATCATTGAGCTGTACCCCCAGTCTTATTTATTTTTTAAGTTTGAGCCAGGGTCTCACTAAGTTACTAAGCCTGGCCTGGGACTTCTGATCCTCCTGCTTCAGCCTCCAGAGTCACTGGAATTACAGGTATGGACCACCATGCCCTGCCAAACATACACTTATGTTTATTTTCTCTTACTGATATCTTAAGCTTTTCAAAATCTTTATATTTCCTTCAACTCTGTCTCCTAAAGGCTGTGGATTTTGTCTTTATACCACTTTCCTAAGTCCCTTTTTCATGAAGAAATTTATATTCTACTTTACATCTTCATCACCTCCCCCCATTTTTCTTTTGTACTTTTCCCCCTTCAATAACAAACAAACTTTATTTTATTTTTTTAAATATATTTTTCAGTTGTCAGCGGACCTTTATTTTTATTTATTTATTTATATGTGGTGCTGAGAATTGAACCCAGTGCCCCACACATGCTAGGCAAGCACTCTACCACTGAGCTACAACCCCAGCCCCAATAAACAAACTTTATCAAGGAATTTATCACCCTAACTTGCCCTGTTTGCAATACTCTCCTGTATTTGTTTCTTATCTGAGTGTTTTCAGTTTGTGCCTAAAATCTTTAATTTTCCTTTTGGAAAACTCATTTTCATTAATTCTTGAAATATTTTTGTTCACTATGTTTTACTTCTGTTATCCAGAATTTGATCTATCTGTTTCTATTTTTTTTTTTTATGATTTGACTTTTCTTATATATTTTCTATCTCTTTATCTGCTTCCTAAAAGTATTTTTATCTTCTGGGACAGTTCTTTGATCTTATCTTTTGAATCATGAAATCCTTATACTATATCTTTCCTGCTATCCATCTCATCTGTTGCCTTCAGTTATTTATTGTATGTATAACTTACATTCTGATGCCCTTTAAGAATGTCATGTGTTTTTATTTACACCTAATAATTTCTTACTGCATTTTCTCTTTGTTCTTATTATTTGTTTTCATATTTCATTTTGCTTGTGTCTTCCATTATTTCCTTAAGTAGATTAATCATGCTTATCTTAAATTCCCAGTCCATCCACTTAAGTAGCCTGATATGTATTATTTAGTTTGCTGCCTTTTTTTTTTTTAAAGAGAGAGTGTGTGAGAGAGAGAGGGAGAAAGAGAGAATTTTTTAATATTTTAGTTTTCAGCGGACACAACATCTTTGTTTGTATGTGGTGCTGAGGATTGAACCCAGGCCGCATGCATGCCAGGGGAGCGGGCTACCGCTTGAGCCACATCCCCAGCCCTGCTGCCTTTTTTTGAGGTAGCAGTGCTTTTCATATATCCTCTATTTTGTCCTTTGAACTTAAGTTCTCTTGCAGATACTATTTATTCAGCCAATATAGTATTTGAGGAAGGACAGACCTCGCAGGTGAATCCAAGGAAAGGGCAGAGAATGAATTCTGGGCACCATAGAAAGAACCTCTTTGGGTCCCTTTTCTTCGCTGCCACTAGGCTTGATAACCTCACTGGTCAGAATTTCACTCCCTGACCTCTTCGGAAGAAAAACACTGGGAGGAAGCATGACCCTCCATTGAAATCCATCAAGCCCTGGGTTTGAGACAGAACAGGGTGGAGAAGTAGATGCCAAATGTGACTGGTCTTCCCACACATCTCATCAACTCTTTACCTGAGCAAAGACTCAGCCCCAAGAAATTCAGCAACCTGAATCCTGGGCCTGGGCCAACATCCTTAGCAAGGAAAGAACAGTCTGCAGTGATGACTGTGCTGGAGAAGGTTGGGGCAGGGGTCTAGAATACTTTCCTCCAGCCAATTCTTTCAGGTAGCCTCCAGCAACTCCCCCACTCATTTCCAGTCCTCCTTCTTCAGATCACCACAGACCAGACCAGTGCAAAACAGCTTCCAGAGTCCCATTTACAAAGGTTATTATTGTCCTGTTGTTATCAAATTCATGCCTCAGTCTCATTTTGCCTGTGCAGACTCACTATCTTGATAGGAAACTGATGGTCTCAGGTATCCTGAGTAATTTTTAACAATGATTCTACCCCCACACACTCTGTCTCATCACCTATCCCAGTAAAAGTGATTGGTAGAAATTATAAGCTTTTTGTGGTAGTATTGTTTATGAATACCCTG